TATATTCACGGATTTCTTTTTGGTGCAACAATTTTTGCGCCATGTAGTATAATTATGTGTTAAAATTACAATTAACTAATGAATGGCAGTAACTTAGAGCAATTCTTAGCGGCATATTAACCGCAAGAAATATTTCAAAAAACATGCATTACAAATTAATGTAACGTTACAGTTAAGTGTATAGCATAGTTCGAAATGCTACTTCTTTGAAGTTCTAAAAGCATTTTGTCTCGCTTACCAATCATTTAAACAAAAAAACTCAAGTTATTAATTACTATTCTAAATATTTATTGTAAAAAACGTTCGTAGTCAACCAGAAAGTGATATTAAAGTAATTAATAGCTGTAATTATCATAGACAATTTTATAGTCAATTAATTTTATAACCATGCCCACACCAAGAAGATATACTTTTCTTTTTATGGCATTTTGTGTTTATTGTTCTTCTGACTTCTTGAATTTTAATCACTCTTTATGTCTGGTTTTGTTTTAAAAAGATTCAATTCTTCATTTCTTCAAAATGACTGATTAGCTCTATGGACATATTTGGGTATACCTATACTCGTTTTCATATTAGTGTGCATGGAAGTAGTCAAAGGGATCATTTTAGGGTGTCAACCATGCGAAAATTCAAACAATCCTAACCTCAATCTTCCTTAAAATTATTTTTTCAAATAAATGTGTACCCCAGGTAGCAAAAAATAAGTAAAATTAACAACATAGGTAATTAACATAGAGTAGCAAACATACGGATTACATTTTTTGTGTGATTCAGCCTTTAAATTAAAGATGCATTTAGACTTCTACAACCCTTTTGATGATCATTAATATAAAAAAGAGTATATATTTCCCATCAGATCAACACTACCTTAGTAACTATCAAACAGTTAAATTTTAACTGAGGCTTAATCGTACCAGGGCCTAAGTCACACTATGTTATTCAATTGCTTTTTTCTCTCTTCTTACTGCTTAATAAAAATTAAAAACAAATTAATAGTGTAGTTAACAGTAAGTAATGTTGAACAAAAACACGATTAGCCCGTCACATACCAAGAAGATCCAAGAAGAAGAAGTAAGTAATGTTGTTTAAGCGATATAAAACAAGCTTAACGATCTTCTTTATTACGCCATCAAGTATTATTCGGCTGTCCACAAAAAACAATTTTAAGGGTTGCAAATTTAAATTACAATACATATTTCATTAAAAATTACAAATTAATGAAAACGAAAAATAAAAGAAGACTAATGGTTGTCAAACGCAATTTTTACGAATTGGTAATTATTACAAAAAAGATATTGAATCCAAAGTTAGGTTTGAGGATTTAGTTTACATTGCACAAACTTTCAACAACAGAAAGTAAAATTTCTCACTTCCAATCCATCTCATTCCCATCACTGTCTGTCAACATATCTGGGTGTGAAACCGTGAAACACCATATAGTTTCGTAGTCCTATTATTACTTTCCAGCCCATCTAGATACCAAAAACTCCGCTCCTTTCCATCCCACAGTTCAAATAGAATTCCAAAGATGTGTCACTAACACTTGCATAATTGGTACTTGCACATATTTCTTCATCCTTCTAATTATCAACACTTACATAACCGACATCTTATCATGTTTTATGTTTATGACACTTGATTACACTGTGAGAGCGCAAATCATCTAACCGGTATTAATAATTCTTCTACAGAAAACAAAAAAAATCCCCAAACTTACCAGTACCCGCCAAGAAATGCTCCAGTTTTTTTGGTCCTATCACTAGAAAACACCACCGAAAAGTCCGGTCACGTGCCCCAACGAACAAAAGAACAACGCCGTACACAAACGTCTTTTGCACCTGGCGTTGTTCGACAGGTTGTAGCTAAAGAATTAGATAATCGGCTCTTGTCGGTTCTTGGCGGCTTTAACCGAACCGACATGGTACAAAGAAAGTGTTTGTATTCTTGTTTGTTTATCCTGTGATTCTAGAGGTGGGGAGAGGTTCATTGTTGTGGAAGGTCACTGGTGGGTTTTAATACTGGAGGAAAAATTGGGTCGATTTCGTGGAGATTTCGATGATGGGTTAGACCACAAAAAAAAATATTTTGGTGATGCCAGTAAATCACATATTTGTTATGTTTTTTCTTTCAAAATTTGAAAATACAGGGCGATTCAGATAAGATAATGAACCTGACGATCTGGCGATGCAACCCAAAAAACAAATTTCATTTACGTCTTTGATCCCATTTAAATTAGGATTTGCAAGTTGAATCCAAGTTATCATCTTATGTCACTCGATCATTAGTGCCACTCAGTTCTCGCGGAATGATAGAGAAATTTGAGAAGCCTTTTCGGTGTAAATCCAATACAAAATGTACGAAAAAATGAAACAGGTAGGCAAACAGTTTTTTATAAATCATAAATTGCACTGTCAGAACAATAAAAGATAACTTGGATTGCAAATGCAAATGCAATTAAAATTAGATCAAGACGTAAATGAAATTTGTTTTTTGGGTTGCATCGCCACAATCTCGGGCTCATTATCTTATCTGAATCACCCTGTATATTTGCAAAAACGTAAACATAGTCCCAAGTCTTTTAAAGGCAGCGCATAAATAAATATTTTTAGTTAAGTAGAATAATTATTAGCGTAAACGATAGAAGATTAAATACACTTTAATTTGATGCTTTGACATACAGGGTGTCAATTTTAAAACTTGCCATCGCCAATATCTCTAGAACTGCAAAAGTTATTGAGAATCACTCAAAACCGTGGTTCATAGGGGGAATTAAAATGGCATGGTAAATGACGCATCTCCACCCACCCTTCAAGCCACAGCCACCCCAAGTTGAAAATTTTAAATGGCACGACACTGCTACTTGTGATAGATCATTGGAAAGCTCATAACAAGAGCTTTTCAAAAATGTCATACAACAGCCTATTTGGTAAAGCCGTTTTTCCAAGTATTCAAAAACGAAAACTTTAAATTTTCATTTTTTTTATTATGATGAGGGGTGGGTGGAGGTGCGTCACTTACTATCTCATTTTGATTTCCCCTACAAACTACCAAAACGGTTTTGAGTGATTCTCAATAACTATTTCTGTTGAGAGATATTGCCGATTACTAGTTTTAAATCTGACAAAATTTTTAGCGTATGACAGTAAGATCATGGAAACTAAGAAAAAATTCAAGTTAGGTATCGGAATATTATTTTTTCTATTTTTTCTATTTTTATTTTTTCTATTTTGAGTGCTGGAATAAGTCGTTGGCGTTAATTTAATTTTAGTGGCGGACTTTCTTCACAATTCATTTTTAAATGTGAAAATAAGAATTATTTTTATTTTTTACAGCCGCCTAAAATTATTCCATATAAATGTCGCCAACATTCGCAAAATTCTCTAGAAAATAAAAAATTAAAATTTTCGTTTTTTAATTTATAAAATGATATAAAGCGGCAAAATAGAAAAAATAGTATAAAGCACTTGTTACAGAAGGTTCTTCAAGCACTCATTTGTTTCTCAACTCGCTGCTACGCGGCTCGTTTCGGAATTTCAAATTTGTACTTGAATAGATACCTTCTGCAACTTGTATTTTAATATACTATTCTACCTATATGATAAAATTCCTTTAATTTTTATAGTGGTAATTGTTAAAATAGAATAATGCAAAAGTTGATAAGTTTTGAGTAATTAACATTTTAATATTGAAAATGTAAAAGTTCTAATACTTTAGAGTTGGGTTTGTAGTTTGTGGTAATTGGTTATCAGACCATAATTCCTTGACAATAGAAAAAGGTCCTCAATGATATTTATGACGTACCTTAGGTAAATCCTTGCTCTATTGTAAAATCCCCGCTCTATCAATGCGTTAGCAGCACATCTTCCCAAACTTGACCATAAATTAGCAGAACTTCCACCTTTTCAATATTAAAATGTTTATAAAATTTCTTTTTTTTTTCAAAATTAATTTTTAAGGTCTCTTTGGCATATGTTAAAAATTTTGTACAGTGTCAAAGCATTAAATTGATTGTTTGCCTATCAAGTTTTTATTGGACCGGCTGTAAGTTTTGAGCACATTGCTAAGACATAATATCTTAAGCCAAATCTAAAATAAAGAAACATAAAAGAGAAAACACCAACATATGTTGACAATAAATAAAGTGAAACTACAATAATTAATACAAATTTTAAATAAGATTAAGGTGAAGGGGCTTTTCTCTGTAGATATTTGTTACACTCACCTTTTTCTACACAAAACTTCTAAAAAGTGTAATAAAAGACATCCATAATTGATGTAAGGGTTAAAGTTACTGTGCATACAATATTATTTCTTTAGTCTACCTCTTTTTCAATTTTCTTTTAGGCATAAAGAAAAAGTTATTTTATAAATTCTAGCGGCTTACGCTTACGTGCTATCCTTTATTTGAGTGATTTCATTCAACTTATCAACAAATTTTACATATCTTCTTATACGACTATTTATTTTTATTTTTAGTAAGTTTGCACTCTTATAATTGTGTTATTGTGGAACCATATAATTTTTTTAGTACTTACTTCCCAATATCTGATTCTTAAAGAAAAACATATTATAAATGCATACACCTTGATGTTATTTGTTTTAAATTAACATTGTGTAGTCAACCGTAAAATAGTAATATCAGCTTACCACAGTAAATTTTGTCATCACTTTTTATTCGAAAATAACACATCACATTTTAAAGCTTAGGTTTTATGGGCATATAAGTTAATCATTAGTTAATTTATGTAAACATGGAAGTAATATTAATCTAGAATACAAAGCCCGTGCAAGATTGTCAACATAATAATATTTTTTAGCAGCACGGTTCTTCACCTCCAACAAAATCAACGCCGCATTCTTTCCTAATTCCCTGCACCCAAACTCTTCTTTTAACGAAATTAAAACTTCGCCGCTACTACAATTAACAGAACCGAGTCCAATTTAGAGAACCCAAATTACCGTCACGAAAATGAAATTCTAATAAATTCCTCTTTGCTTACCTTGTGGTTTAGAAACGGCGGGTAAAGGGGTGAAAATGATGGCCGTTCTGGGTGGCAACGGTGGAGCACCGCTGTCTGCATCTCCATTCGTCTGCAGACCTTCGGAAAAATTATGGGGGCCGCGCTGTATCATTAAGACTGTCTTCTGGAACAACAGATTTACGAAAATTAATAGCAATTTGAGTGGTTGAAGGATTTACTTCTTGATTGCTGTTTAAACGATTACTTGTAATGTCAGTTATAGAAAAACATGCCTCAGATTTGATCTGCAATTTTTAAAATTTTGAAAGATGGCAGAAAATGTAAGCCAGGTCTCGGCGACTTTTGTTCACTCCCTAGTGTAAAGTACATACGTGACTTTGCACCTGAGAAGAATTAAAAACTAAGCTCAAATTTTGTTTTTAAAATATTTTGTTCGAAAAAACGAAGATTATAGTTGAATCACCAACGTTATCAACCAACGGTTTATCAAGTGGACAATTAAGTTTGACGTTTGCTGTATTGTTTGCGTTCAAAATATTTTAATGAAATTAAATTTTTTTAACGAATGTAAGGAATTCCGATATGACAGCTACTTTACACGTAGCTGGAAGAAACCTCTTGATCGCATCGACAAACTCATAGTTGTGTAATTTTGCAAGTTTTTCAGTGATAATTACGTCGGAAAATAGACCAAAACCACACTTGATTACAGGAATGTGATAGATGAAGGAGAAAATGAATGGATATAATTACGCTATCAGTTCACTAATTAGTAGTAATTTAAGTGAATTTAAATAGGTGTGGCACACGCCACTGGTGGTCGTTTAATTCGTCATTATTTAAACGACTCGACTAAGATTGAATCTCATCGTGTACAGTTCGATGACAAAACGTAATTTATCTGGATTTTGTTCTTGCTCAGACTTTAATATGGTCGGGTGGGTGGTTCAACTCTCAGAGGCGTAGTCTGTGTAATCTTGAAAATGCAATAAAAATTCTTAAAGTAGCACATTTTTGACTCGATTATTTTAATTGGCTCATTATTGTAGTTTCTATTATAATTAAGTGTCTGTCTAATTAACTATAGTGTAGGTGTGTGACCTTATAAACTGTGTTAAATAGAATAACGGTTTCATTAAAAAAACTGACAGTACAATAAATTGTGGCCGCTATTTTTCTGATGTTATTCGTATCTTGTAGTACCTTTTAATTAAGACAGATTGCAATAAATCAACTGTTTGTAGGTCACGAGAAATTTTAGCTCCAAAAATTTTGTAGGTACTGTGATCAAATGAATACAAAAATGTGTTTTTTTTCTTGTCAACTATTTCAAATTTCCTTTTCCCACACAAAAACCAACAATCTTGCTGACAACCTGACAGTAATTTAAAACACAAAAAACAAATTCCTGAAGCCAACAAATTAAAATTAAAATTTATGCAAAATGTAGCTGCCAGGGCAACTTTGTACCGATTAATCATGCAAAGTATCACTTGTGTTTTAATTTTTTTCCAAAATAATTGCGACAAATCTGCGAGCTATAAATAAATCGTAGTATTTCCGTTTCTTTAACTTAATTATCCAATTTTAAGACAGAATCTCATCTCCTAACAACTCGCACGCCAATGGCGGCTCAAGAAATATTACCTTGGCTATTGAACTGTCCACAAGCATTACAATAGTCGTAAGTCATAACGTTTGTAGCCTAGCATGCTGCGATTATACGAAACGTTTTTCAGTTGTTAGTTACCTCGGGCATACTGATGCGTGTACCGCCTCCATCTGTGCTGTTGTTGGGCGCCCTTTCGATATTTATGTTCTTCGTTTGCATCTTGAATCATTGATTAATGAAGCGGATGTCGAGGATATGATCTGAAACCATTAATTACAATCAGCATTTGCCATCAAACAGGAAAATAAATCCGACAACTAGTCACAATATCCTTACAACTTCATCATATTCTTAAGTTTTTTTATTTTATGACACGCTGTAAATTTATGTGTGTAGAAAAAAAACGATTTATAGATTATTATAAGCCAATTTGTAATTTGTTTTAATTGGTCCGTTCCTGCTAATAGCCTATTGTGAACGTGGTTTAGTTTTTTCTACTTTAATGGTGTAATTTTAAGTGGACAAAAGAGAGCAGTGAATTCTAATTTATTATGAATTCATTATTATGAAAATCTAAGTAAATTAGTACATTATTGTTGTTTCGCTACTCATTATTTTTATGTTCAATGTTCAGTTAGAAAGCTCGTAACATAGATAGCTTCCTTCCAGCAGGAAAACTGAGACCTGCAAGACTAGATGGCGCACTTGGTCCACTTTTGTAACACAAATGTGACAAACAAAAATTAAAAACTAAATTATTTTAATTCTTTCTCATATATTATGTAGAACCGAAATTTTACATTGTTAAATCATTAAATAAAAACATTAAAAAAAGCAAAATCATATTATGATAAAAACTGAAAAATTTTAATTTAATTTGCATCCAACAGGTTTCATTAGCATTTCACATAACTATGTACCATAAACTAGGATGACTGCAAAAGGACGGTAGGCGCATAATTTTTGTATGACTTTTGCCTCGCGATTTTAGATAAAGCGAAACTTATTGGATTCGAAATATTGTAGAGGCTTAGTGTCGATCAAAAAATGTGCAAATCTGAACTAGTTGAGAGGACCCTTTCAATAGAAATACCTTAAAAATTCTTCGAGTTTACGGTCGTGTAAAGCGTAACTCTCATGGTAGTAGTTTTTTACATAGTGGAACAGAAAAGAAAACTTCATACAATATTCCTGCTTCATTTTAAAAAAAAATATTCTATAAATATATTATATGCATACACGACAAATAAATAATAATATTTAAAAAAAAGCTTTCAAATATTTGTTATATTTTACTTCACAGCAAACAGAATCAATAACTTCGATATTAGAACCGCTATTAAAAGTCATGGGACAAAAATTACATTTTAATGTCTCTTACAGTAAAGTTTAAAGTTCAGTCTAAAAATCAGAGATTCAGCAAAATAAACACCAAGTGTGAGATTTATCGTCCGGTCGCACACGCCAAGCAATTTATGATCCTCGGAAAGTGTTCCTTCATCGTATTAAGTGAACAAGCTTCCGTAAATTTATAATCCCACACACTATTACAATTTTAGTTATTTCATTAATTAAATAATCCGGATTTCTTTTCCAATTAGAAATAATTTTATTATTAATTGCACGTGTCATCTAATGGCCTGAAAAATCTATATAAGTGGCGTCTGATTATTGTATATCCTGTACAACCAATTAATCGTATGATAATATTTGTCGTAGCAAATCGACTCGATTTATAATCTCCTTAGTCAAGTTTTTATAATTTGCTCTACTACTCGGTAATAGCAAAATGTAGTTAGTTTGCGCCTTGTTTATTAAAACTAAAATTACTAGGTACACAATATGCCATTCTGTCATATTCACACCTTGCCCTTTAATCGAAATTTAATAAACATTAGACTTCAAAGCCAGGTGGTAGTCTCTGTGATAGAAATGTTTAAATCGTCGTTCCTCGAGCATAAAAAATGAATAAAAAGAGGTTCCATGTTACATTATGAAAGATGAAATAAAGCGGACGACGTTAACGTCGCTAAGATAATAAAAACTGGTACAGATATAAAGGCAACCTGAAGATTTTTCACATAACTTCCAAAGCCTGAGAGAAAACAGCATATAGCAGTTTGCTGAGATATTAAATAAACGCCGTCTAATATATTGATTCTATTTATTGATTTATCAAATAGTTTTGTGTAACGAGTATGTTTTAAATAAGAGAAATACATTCTACAAACTTATACATACAGGGTGCATTTAAAAAATGTTATCTATAAAAATTTCGAAGTTTGCACTTTGACTCTATTTATTTCTGTTGGAGAAGAGGGAAGAAGTAAGCTGTATCCTAAATTGTAACTCTGTTCAATGTTATTTGTGGCTTTTATTGGCAAAATTTTTGTACCTTTATTAAATAATTGTAAAAAAAAAACACATAGAGGATCATCAGTATCATTAAAAAGGCATAAAAAATGTTAAATGTCAAAAAATAAATGTCAAAATTTTTTGACAGAGAGAATTTTTTAAACATTTTTTCCATGTTCCTGATATCTTATCTTACTTGAAATTTTTCTCTGGGGCGCGAGTTCTGGCGCACCCTGCATAGACATTGGGCATATTGTAATTACAGAATGAGTCATTTATAATAAAGGCCTTAACTGATTTTTTTTATATATTATACAGTGAGCGGCAAAATTACTTAGAAACTAAAATTGAAAATATATTTTTTCTTTTTAAATACAGAATTCTCAACTTATTAAAATTGTATGTTTGTAATTGTTATATTTGTATTTTACTTTTTGGATAATTTTTTTTTTTTTCGAAAACTATGTAATATTTAATATTTTGATATAGTCATTTCAACAATTAAAAGATCTACCAAATTGGCTAAATAAATTGAGGTTTCCTTTTAAAAAAAATGTCGATGACGTCATTACTCGAAAACCAAAAAGTGTAAAATTTTAAATCAAGTTGAAAATTGTCTATTTTTTTAAAAGAAAATTGACCTGTTCGAGCAATTTTGGCCAGAATAAAATATTTTTAGTTTTAATAAGATTATTCCATAATTTTGCCACTCACTGTATATGACTAATCCTCATCTATAGACTTAGCTTCGCTTGTGAATACCGCTTCACATTGTTTTGTATATTGTGTTGCCTATACTTTCCGGACAGCTTTTTAAACAAGGATCGAAATTCTCCGTTGCCGAAAGACCACGCTTTCGCAAGGTGGTTTTCTGCGAGCGGAAACGAACATCCGGTTAACTTTTGCTTTGCCCAAACCAGTTTCATTTATTTTCGTATGGTAATTTAGATAAAAAAGTAAAACCTTTAAATTATGAGTGAATCTTTCAACAGAATTTGTCACACGCTGTCTTTATATCTCAATTTGATTGCAAATTGTTGGCATAAATTACAAATTTCTTCCGGTGAGATGTAACGAGTCTATTTCCCATCGTAATTAACATACAGATACATTTCTCCGCATGTACTTTGATAATTTAGAGTGGAAACTGTTGATTAACAACAAACGTGCGAAGAGTGAACCTACTTTCTATTGTGTTCATGGCGATAACATGATTAAGACCGTGGAGCGGCACTGAATCTAATTTCATTGCAAGAGTGTTAATTAATTGCCAAAGGTAAGCCTTTTACCTACATGCCTGTTGATTACTGACATTAGTCAAACAGGAAGATTCTACGCCAATTTTCAGTCTCTATAAAAACTTATAAAAATAATAGCTATGGTTTCAAATTGAAAAGTTAACTGTAAAGTAATACAATTGTATGTTTCCCTTCTGAACAACGTTATATAGGACGATTCATATACTCATCTCAGTGTTTCAAATCCTCAACCGTCAACAGATAAAACACGACTGAAATTCTTCTGGTTTTTCATATTACAAAAATCGCCATTTTTAATATTCCAGAAAGTGACAAAGTACCAGTAATTGATTAATTAATTACCTACGCTTGACACAATTTGAAATTTCCGTTCGCTCCAAACCAACAATTACGCTTTTACGACCATCAGGCCTATTAAATTTTACGATAATAATTATCCCAGTGGAGATATTAAATAAGAGCGTAGTGTAATTACGATGCCTTTTAAGATGAATGTTTCTTCCTCAAAGGCATTTGGAATGCAATATATTTGAAATTTTGTAAGGTACTGACCTGTAAATAAATCAGTGACAATCCCATTTCAAAAGTTAGGAAATACTCGTAGATACATAGGACATCAGAGAGACAACAAATACCTAACTGAACTGAGAATAGCTAGTGCTAGTTAGTACTAGTGCTAGTTTTTTTTATTATAACATTATATTATAAATAATTTGCGAATCTTGGCTCTCAAATGATAATTTTTCCTACTTTTATGATTGAAAGCTTAAGTGTTAGTAATACCAACTCGGTTAAAATAACATGAAAGATGTTGGATAATCGGTTTTTGATTGCACGCTGTGTAAGAAAATAGAATGAAAATGGAACTATTCGTTTATGAGTAACATATGTGTAGTGTGATGTAGATGGATGTTACTACAATTACACTCATGTTTAACAATGACCTTTTCTTGAAAGCGTGTTGTTATTGTTCACCAACTGTTCCGATAGAACTTCATTAAAGACATAAAAGTGCATAAGCAGTGATGGATAAATGTGAAATGAACAGGATAATATAGTGAAACAACACAAAAGCATTAGAGCATTGCGACTGTTATTTTTGTTATTACATGTACAAAACAATAAGTTAAAAATAGGTCTACCTATAGTTAGTCCGCCGATGGAGCATAGATAATAACCTTAAGCTAGTCTTGAATAAAAGTATAGATATACATATACATAATTTAGACACGAAGTGTCCGCAAATACCACTATTTGGGATTTTAGTCTTTTTAGTCAAATGTCAAATGACCTACAATATTTAAAATTTTAAACACTACCAATTAATTCACACCTCTGTTCACATAATATCATAAAACAATGCTTTTTACGACTTCTTTCGTAAGTATTTATCTGAAATTATTTACGATATTGAATTTACAAGTAATAACTTGACAATTTTATGGGGTAAAAGTTGAAAGAAAACATTGCACGGCCTTGAAATTTGCATAAGAATTATACGAAATGTTCGGCCATAAATTATTTATGTCTTACAATAAAGGCATGTAAAAATTTCGTACAGTTACTTAATCACAACAAAACGAAAAAGTATATAAACGAGACATTTCCAACTGTATTTCTTATGCAGGATAACAACTCAATATTCT